CAGTCCAAAAAAGGGAATCTAATTACCATACAGGCCAAAGTTCACTTCAGGAATTAACAAAGTAGCATCAGTGAGAGACACAGAGTAATGACTTGAATTTCATCACAAAACATTGTCGTAAAGCTAAAAACTATTGAATATAAGTCGTATAAGCTACTTTTTACAATAAGTTGCTTTTCATCATTTTGAAGAATTTTAATTTTTAATATAACATTGTGTGTTCCGCAGAAAAAAGAACAGTCACAAAACTTACTATACTTCTAAGACATTACAAATCGGTATATGTAAGACAAAAAACCTACAACACCAATATAAATGTGGCCTGCTCATACTATCCTGTCAGAGATCCCCTTTCTCTGGACCAGAAAACCCACTGCAGCGGAAGGGCCTCATTTAGAGAAACAGAAAGGCAAGGCAGAGGGAAAAAAAAGAGAATAAATCCCTTTCTCAGGAAGATTAGTGGCTGTCCCTTTAGAGTGGGCTGTGGATGGAGCAGCTTTTTAGGCCACATTTTTCTCTGCCAGTGGCTTGACCCCCGGTGCGTTGCCTCTCTCCCCTGGGCTGCCCGCTGTACTGCTCTCTGCTCCTCCCACCCAGCCTCCCTACCCATTCTTCACCATCTCTACGGAGACCTACTCAGGAGGGATAAAGAAATACCTCTTTTTCTCTGACATGGTGCTGGAGACCAATCTAGAACCGCTCTGTGATTTCACTAATGTAAAAAAGGTGATTCTGGGCTGAAAAAAATCAACTCCGCCTGCTTATATTGAACCGGGAACTATATTGAACTTATATTGAAGCTAGAAGATAACATCTTGAAAAGTTTATCACTGTTTACACAAAAATATTAACCAGCACAACATAAATAAGCACCAAACCAGCATATTTGAATATTTTCTGAAGCATCATGTGACACTGAACACTGGAGTAATGGCTGCTGACAATTCAGCTTTGCAATCACAGGAATAAATTACGTGTTATAAAAAGGTGATTCTGGGCTGAAAAAAATCAACTCCGCCTGCTTATATTGAACCGGGAACTATATTGAACTTATATTGAAGCTAGAAGATAACATCTTGAAAAGTTTATCACTGTTTACACAAAAATATTAACCAGCACAACAGTTTTCATCATAAATAAGCACCAAACCAGCATATTTGAATATTTTCTGAAGCATCATGTGACACTGAACACTGGAGTAATGGCTGCTGACAATTCAGCTTTGCAATCACAGGAATAAATTACGTGTTAAAATATATTAAAATAGAAAACGATTATTTACATTTTTCCTGATATTAATGTATTTGTTGTATTGTGATTAAATAAATGCAGCCAAGCGAACTGACTTGCGTCGGGATCATGTCAGGATAAATTACATTTGAGAACACTAGTTTAAAATTTGGCCTGAACTGGTGGGAAAGAATGTGTTGTGGTTGGAGGAATTTCTTTGCAGATTTTCCTTTGAAACACTGACACCTTTCCTCATTCCTGCTCTGTATCATGTACCTACACCGAGCACACATTGTTTCGAGGTACTTAACAAAAGTTGGACCATGCAGCTAATAAATCCTGCAGATCCCCTGTAACCACTAAACTGACCTCAATAAAACAAATTCTGCACCATAAAAGTCTGAACAAAAGCTGTAAATAGACATAAAAGTGAGACGAAACAAAAGGTATTGAATAGCTCAGAAATGCTTTAAATAAGTTGAGCCCTGCTCCTGGAGATCTATCGCCCTGCAGGATTCAGATCTTCTAACTCTAGTCAACCACACTTGAATCAGAGAATCCAAGTCTTCAGATTCATTGGCAATTACAGGCAGGGTTTGAAATAAACCATGCAGAGAGGCAGATCTCCAGAGACAGGACTGAGTGCATGTGGGTAACTGTCCAAATGTTTTTGCAGAATAACTAAGAATTTCTTCATATTTTGCTGCATTTGTTGAATTAATTCATTGCTTTTCAGAGTTTAAGGGTTAGTATCCGTAATTTCGTTCCTTATGTTGTTCCAAACCTGTATGACTGACATTCTTCTGCAGACTTTTTTAAGGAATGCACTTTCAGTGCATTTTTCAGTGCAATTACAATAAAATAGGGACGGGAGCTTTCAGGATTAAAAAATGACTCAAAAGCACCATTTAAGTTGTTCATACAATATTGTGCACTATATTTCATGCCTTCTGCATTCAAAATGAAATTTATCTTTTACAAAATGGCCTGTTAAATGCTCATAGATGTACAGGATTGTACACGAGTCAGTAAGTTGGAGAAACTCAAGAAAAGGTTAGGTATGATTTGAAATATTAGTCTTCATATTAGACTAATAATAATAATTTGTTCAAGAACTGGGCATCGATACTTATTTCATGAACAAGTTAAGGAGAGCTAGATTTGAATCAGTGAACAACGAACTCAATTTTCATTCGTATGGACCATTTAAATTATAATATTTGAAGCCTAAAAGCTTCAGTACCCATTCATTGTAACTTCATGTTTATGTAAATAAAATAACCAGGGCATTTTATTTTTCCAAGGAAGAAAGAAAGTCAAAGAAAGTGACATCAGGGTGAGTAAAAGGTGACAGAATTAAAATTTCTTTGGTGAATCATTCCTTTCATACTTTGTTTACAGTCTACTGATGCCCTATCGGACAATACATACACATAAAATAATATATGCATAATTAATGCACATATTTGTTGATTTATTCATGTTATATGTGTATGATGCAACACAGAATTGCAGTGTCAACAATAACCAGAATGTATTATGAAAAAATGTGATCATAATATCAAAGACGACTCTCAAAAAATAATTTTCTTTATTTCTCTGGCAGGCCAACAAACTCTATTAGTGTCACCAAACACTATTAAAATATGTCATACAATGAAAAACTACATTACCATCTAAGCACAGACCCCGACGGCCAAAAACCATGATGCTAACAAGCTCAGACAGCCATGACTAGTAATACATATCTTCTAGTCTCCAGTGGTGAGAACAATTTCTTTCACTATCATTGAGGTTTGCATTCAAAAGCCTTCATACTAGCCACAAACTAACAAACAACAAAACACAAAATAAATGACTATTCCTTGAGTATTTCCCGTTAACATACTTTGCAGGTTTCTAAATATGCAAACAAACTCTTTTAACATTCATTAAACCCACAAAATCATACACTGAGACAAAATATAACACCCTTCCAAAGACCGGGCACACCGATGCCCTATTTCTCCTTTTGTCTTAAACAATTTATGATCATTGCTTTCTCATGGCAGGCCACCAAACCCCTCATTAAACAGTAAGATGCCATAATATGAGCAGGCCATTAGCATTTCAAAGGTCTTTCACCATCTTCATGTTTGTCAGATGGACAGCGCAGTCCACTGCTCTCCCTGAAGCTTTAAGAAATTTATAACATTTATACTCTGGAGGTAAGAACAAGGTCTTTCAACCTAGTTAGAGAAGGGTTTTCATCACACATTCACTGATATCTTTTAAACATGTACAGCCTCTCGTCCATTCTCTTCACTCTTTCCTTCGCATCTTTGAGTCAACAAGTGATACATAAGCAAACCGGACTGATATGCAATATATTTACATACATGTATCTCAGACAATTATGAACACGTCTTTTGCGTAACCTAGGGTGTTAAAGGTATAGTTCACCCAAAAATGTAAATTCTGTCATTAATTACTTACCCTCATGTCGTCCAAACCCGTAAGACCTTCATTCATCTTCAGAACACAAATTAAGATATTTTTGATGAAATCCGAGAGCTTTCTGACCCTCCATGGACAGCAGTGCAACGGACACGTTCAAGGCCCAGACAGGTAGTACGGACATTGTTAAATAATCCATGTGACATCAGTGTTTCAACCTTCATTCTATGAATATGAGAACTTTTCGGAACGCTGGCTCCTGCATCAGCAGCACCACGCCAATGCATCACGGTACTCTTGTAAACGCGCGTCGAAGACTGAGAAATTGTTAAATAAAGTTGTTATTTTTGTTTTCTTTGCACACAAAAAGTATTCTCGTAGCTTCATAAAATGAAGGTTGAACCACTGATGTCACATGGACTATTTTAACGATGTCCTTACTACCTTTCTGGGTCTTGAACGTGTCAGTTGCACTGCTGTCTATGGAGGGTCAGAAAGCTTTCGGATTTCATCAAAAATATCTTCATTTGTATTCCGAAGATGAGGAAAACTGTTACAGGTTTGGACGGCATGAGGGTGAGTAATTAATGACAGAAAATTCATTTTTGGGTGAACTAACCCTTTAATTATAATTGAAAATTAACTTATTTTTTTAATTGAAAATTGAAAATAAACTTATCTTTGCAAAATGTCAAAATTACTTTTAATTATCATTTTGAATATTTTTAATATCAACAACAATTTAAACTAGGCATATCAAATTTAATAATAATAACGATTTCTAAAACAGTGTAGTTATTGTTAACTAAAACTAAATATCAAATATAAACATTAAATGAAAATTATATAAAAATTACAAAATGCTGTCAAGTTTAGACTAAAGTACCAAAATTAAAACAAAATAAAGGCAATCTAAAATATATTAAATCTAAATAGAAGACATATATAACGATAAATGCACTAAACTAAACTAAACAAAACAAAAAACGAAAATATCACAATAAAAGCTAATTAAAATATGAATTATATTGTAATAGCTTGAATAGTACTAAAATAACACTGTTCTAAACAGGTTCTCAAACACCCCTGTCAATGCAGCCCAATGCTGTAGTTTCCGCATCTACCACCAGGGGCTAAATGAGTTGTGCTAACAAGCTAAACTTGGTCGGACAACTTAAAGAAACAGAAAAAAAGCACCACAAACACTTGGTAAGTCAAACTATAAATGGTCTTTACACTATAAACCGGAATAGGAAAGAAAGTAATTTAAAGGTGCATTGCCTCATTTTTTTTCACTAATGTAGTGGGCAATTTTCCATGTGAGTTTACCGTACCTCGGGATGCTGTGGTCGGTGAGGGCTTTTTGGGAAGGTCTGAGAAACTTCTGCCATCCAGGCCTGACCCCTTGCATTCCTTCTTTTCTGTGGTGGTGGTGGGACTCGTGGTCTCCATGATGAGCCTGAAAGACAAAAACAACAACTGCGTTATTTGAGCTTTAATCGTGCCAGCCACACAAACAGATGAAACATGCAACAAACAAATAGGTAGCAGACAAAAAGAGGCGTCACAACTGGACATTGACAATATTATTACTTCCCTCCAAAGTCCTAAAAATGCATAAAATCTTCCAGATGGCAATCGGAGGGTTTGACTGAAACGTTTCCATTATATAAACTACAATTCTAAAGAAAAATCCTTCACTTCCCTCTGCCCTGTCTCATGGCTTGTCTGTTTATTTTGAGAGCTTAGAGGAGTCGTTGTAGAAATGCCATGTTACCAGAAGAGACAAAGCAGAGAGCGTGCGGAGAACCTCCTCTATGGCAGCTCTGTCAGAGCGCTCGAGTGCCTGTGCTGAAGGCAGATGACTTGGCAGCACGCCGCTTGTTTAACTTTGTGTAACCTACAAGATTATCCTTGGTTCAGAGCAAACAGCGAGCGGTTTAGGATTGAAAAGAAGTCCAAACTGAGGCCATTCAGTCTCTGATTGTGGCAGCCCATGTTGTTTGTTCTTCAGCAAATGAACAAGTATGTATGCAAAGCATGATGCACTCAGAATTAGTTTAAATAAATAGGGCAACAATCATTTTCACATCAACACTCATATTATGTAACACATAGTTAAACAACTAAATGTTGAATAGATCGAAGAGCGGGGTGATTAATCAAATTTTGGCTTGATTTACTTACATTACGAAGATTACGAAAACAAGATAATCAAGATAAAAGATTATTGTGCAGCATTCTGTTTTGCATTGATCAGAACCTCTATAATTGTTTAAAATATTTTAGTAGCTTGTGGAAGTACACTACTGTTGATCTTATTCAAATTCAATCTTATTTAAATTTATATAATTATTTATTATTTTATGTATGTTATTTTTTATTCCTTTTACTCAATTTTTTCTTTTTAGTTGAATGGTCAGGGAAAGTTTTTTTTTTTTTTTTTGCCAAAATCAATGAGTAATTGTGATAAATAATCCTGATCTCAATATTGACCAAAATTATCAAATTTTTGCCATAATCAACAAGCTATTTGGCAGCCCATTCCCCCTCAAATTAAAAATCAAAATAAGGGAAATTGGGGAAAAAACAACTGAGATAAAGAACACACACTGCAATACACTTTATATTTTCCTTCTCAAAAAACCCTCCCTAACAAACAAACAAAAAAAAACACCTGCATTTTTCATACCACAAGCACCGATTAGGGAAAATAGCTAGCATATTAGTGTGCTGCAAAAGGAAAAATATGCATGCAAACTAAACGATGCTTTATTTTTGACCTTTTGAATGTTGTTTCTACATGCAAATCCAAAATATAATTTTCTTATGTTCAGCATCCTGTAAGAGTACCTGTGGCCACATTCATCAGCCTTTTCTTGTGCCAGACAAACATCCCTTTGCCAAGGTAAGCCGATTAGAGGTGGACTGTTGGAGTTGGCCAGCATCTGTCTCAGTGCTTGTTAGCCAAGAGGGTACATTTGCCATCCTGTCTCACTGACACCTCTTCATACTTTCCTTTGGAGATGTAAGTAAAGGAGATGCCTCCTAATGTTGCATGTGAAGTCAGTGTTGTCATCAAATGTACACAGGCCAATTATAACAACTGGGACATTTCTATATGTCTCTAATGGAAACCACCTTCCAGGACTTAAGGTTTTTCTTGTTCCATATCATTAGCACGATTGTTAAAAGAGAATGTTAAATGAACTGAATCACTTTTGATGACATTAGTCAAACACAAACATGCTATTACTGGCACTGGTCACCTTCTTTTGCCAGTAACAAGTATTACTGCAGCCAAATCTGCCTTGGAATCGACACACAGTAACAATGACTCATAAATACCTGTCAAAGACGATAATTAATTATTTCAACGTTATTATAGCGCGCATCAAACTATTTCTTGTTACCGATAGCTAGAGAGCAAAGCCAATATAATATATAACTGATTATATAAATAAATATTATATAAATAATATTTATTTATATTTTATGATTATATAAATATTACTGCCATTCAAAAATTTGGGCTCGGTACAATTTTTTTTAAATGTTTTTGAAAGAAGTCTGTTATGCTCACCAAGGCTGCATTTATTTTATCAAAAAATACAGTAAAACTGAAGTATTTTTATCACTTTTGATGACATTAGTCAAACACAAACATGCTATTACTGGCACTGGTCACCTTCTTTTGCCAGTAACAAGTATTACTGCAGCCAAATCTGCCTTGGAATCGACACAGTAACAATGACTCATAAATACCTGTCAAAGACGATAATTAATTATTTCAACGTTATTATAGCGCGCATCAAACTATTTCTTGTTACCGATAGCTAGAGAGCAAAGCCAATGTAATATATAACTGATTATATAAATAAATATTATATAAATAATATTTATTTATATTTTATGATTATATAAATATTACTGCCATTCAAAAATTTGGGCTCGGTACAATTTTTTTTAAATGTTTTTGAAAGAAGTCTGTTATGCTCACCAAGGCTGCATTTATTTTATCAAAAAATACAGTAAAACTGAAGTATTTTTACAAATTGCACAAATTACAAACTGCTTTCTATTTTAAAATGTATTTCTTACTATTATCAATGTTAAAAACAGCTGTGCTGCTTTCATAATTAAATGATCATTTTTTTCAGAATTCTTTGATAAATAGAAAGTTCAAAAGAACCACATTTATTTAAAATAGAAATCTTATGTAACATTATAAATGTCTTTACCGTCACTTTTGATCATTTTAAAGGGGTCATATGATGCGATTTCAAGTTTTCCTTTCTCTTTGGAGTGTTACAAGCTGTTCTTGAATAGATAAGATCCCTAAAGTTGCAAAGACTAAAGTCTCAAACCCAAAGAGAAATTGTTTATAAAAGTTAGCCCTCCTAAAACGCCTCGTTTAGACACGCCCCCACATGTCTACGTCACTGTGTGGGAAGATTTGCATAACGCCGCCCAAATGTTCACGCAAAGAAAGAAGGCGTAACTTTGATTCTCGCTGTAGTATTGTCGCTGTCGCTGCCGCTGCCGCCACCGCCGCCATGTCATGGAGACGCTGTGTTTCGTTGTGAAAGCGAAACTACTTTGTTTGGCCTTCCAAAAGAGGACACAACTAGAAATCAGTGGTTAAGTTGTATTTACAAGGACTGTTTCCTGTGAGAGTAGCCTACAATGCCGGTGTTCCGGTGAATTCAGTTCCCGTTTCCCCTTCGGGGTGCATGCTGACCCTATACAGTCTATGATGCTGACAAATAATGCTGACTTACACCCTGTAAGTACGTTTCATATTTAAAGGATTTGCCACTGACGATTCAAATGCGAGTTTTGAGCAGTGTAGATTAGCAACAAATGCCTAATTTGTAATGGGTTTTATTGGTTTTGTCTCGTTGCGCCGGGACACGGCATCACAGTATGGTAAGGGGCGTAACATTTCCGTCACACGCTTGAGGTATTCGGCCAATCACAACGCACTAGATTGCAGGCCGATCACAGCACACCTCGCTTTTCAGAATGATGAGCTTTGTAAAAATTGACGTGTTTCAGAAAGGCGGGGCATAGAGGAGAAACGATAATGTACAGTATGGGGAAAATAATGTGTTTTTTGAACCTTAAACTGCATAAACACATTTCATTACACCAAATAAGTATGTATGCAAAGCATGATGCACTCAGAATTAGTTTAAATAAATAGGGCAACAATCATTTTCACATCAACACTCATATTATGTAACACATAGTTAAACAACTAAATGTTGAATAGATCGAAGAGCGGGGTGATTAATCAAATTTTGGCTTGATTTACTTACATTACGAAGATTACGAAAACAAGATAATCAAGATAAAAGATTATTGTGCAGCATTCTGTTTTGCATTGATCAGAACCTCTATAATTGTTTAAAATATTTTAGTAGCTTGTGGAAGTACACTACTGTTGATCTTATTCAAATTCAATCTTATTTAAATTTATATAATTATTTATTATTTTATGTATGTTATTTTTTTTTCCTTTTACTCAATTTTTACTTTTTAGTTGAATGGTCAGGGAATTTTTTTTTTTTTTTTTGCCAAAATCAATGAGTAATTGTGATAAATAATCCTGATCTCAATATTGACCAAAATTATCAAATTTTTGCCATAATCAACAAGCTATTTGGCAGCCCATTCCCCCTCAAATTAAAAATCAAAATAAGGGAAATTGGGGAAAAAACAACTGAGATAAAGAACACACACTGCAATACACTTTATATTTTCCTTCTCAAAAAACCCTCCCTAACAAACAAACAAAAAAAAACACCTGCATTTTTCATACCACAAGCACCGATTAGGGAAAATAGCTAGCATATTAGTGTGCTGCAAAAGGAAAAATATGCATGCAAACTAAACGATGCTTTATTTTTGACCTTTTGAATGTTGTTTCTACATGCAAATCCAAAATATAATTTTCTTATGTTCAGCATCCTGTAAGAGTACCTGTGGCCACATTCATCAGCCTTTTCTTGTGCCAGACAAACATCCCTTTGCCAAGGTAAGCCGATTAGAGGTGGACTGTTGGAGTTGGCCAGCATCTGTCTCAGTGCTTGTTAGCCAAGAGGGTACATTTGCCATCCTGTCTCACTGACACCTCTTCATACTTTCCTTTGGAGATGTAAGTAAAGGAGATGCCTCCTAATGTTGCATGTGAAGTCAGTGTTGTCATCAAATGTACACAGGCCAATTATAACAACTGGGACATTTCTATATGTCTCTAATGGAAACCACCTTCCAGGACTTAAGGTTTTTCTTGTTCCATATCATTAGCACGATTGTTAAAAGAGAATGTTAAATGAACTGAATCACTTTTGATGACATTAGTCAAACACAAACATGCTATTACTGGCACTGGTCACCTTCTTTTGCCAGTAACAAGTATTACTGCAGCCAAATCTGCCTTGGAATCGACACAGT